TAGCCAGGTTTGGTGGTGGGCACCTATAATACTAGCTACTTGGGAGGCTGAGGCAGGAGAGTCGCTTGAACCTGGGGAAGCAGAGGTTGCAGTGAGCCAAGATCATGCCACTGCATTCCAGCCCGGGTAACAGAGTGAGACCCTGTCTTAAAACAATAAAAAATAAAAAAATAAAAATAAAAAATATAAAAAATAAAAAGTAGGATAGCTATTCTTCCTCAAGAGACTTTCAGCGCCAGTGTGGTGGATCACGCCTATAGTCCCAGTACTTTGGGAGGCCAAGGTGGGTGAATCACCTGAGGTCAGGAGTTCAAGACCAGCTGGCCAACATGGTGAAACCCTGTTTCTACTAAAAATGCAAAAATTAACTGGGTGTGGTGGTGCATGCCTGTAATCCCAGCTATTGGGAGGCTGAGGCAGGAGAATCACCTGAATCTGGGAGGCAGAGGTTGTAGTGAGCTGAGATCATGCCACTACATTCCAGCCTGGGCAACAAGAGTGAAACTCTGTCTCAAAAAAAAAAAAAAAAAAAGACATTTATATTTCTGCCTCCTTCTTCTGCTGAGGAAATTTTCTGCTCCCTATATACACATTGTTTATTGTGTTCTTAGTCAATTTTAAATGGGTGATTGCAGCACAGGTTTGGTTTACCATATAGACTCAGTATGATTTGTCCAGATTATTCTGAATTTTAGCCCTACATAAAACTGTGAAATATAAAAGGTTTTCTTCTGTATCTCCAGTTTTACCTCTGTTACATCTTTCACTCTCTCTGATTTTCCCCTTTCTCAAATAGCCAGTGACTCTTTTCCAAATCTTCCCATTACCAAAAACAGACTAAAAAATCATCTGATAAACTCATTTATACAAAATTACTAATTCAAGTCATGAAATGCTCTTTTCAGGCAAAGTTGATTTAAATAGGGCACAGGATTTAAGTCAAAGTGAAAAAAGAAAGTGTAGTGATGGCCTCTCAGACATCAGGTAACCCAGTTAGGGAAGGAATTTTGGGTTTGGTCAAGTTCCTTTCTAGACCCTCTAAAATCTTGCCAAATAGGTTGTTACTTATCTATCATTGGAAATGTATCCTTGGAAGAGTCATATAATGCAACTAATGTTTTTTGTTTCATAATATGCATGAAAAGATTTAGTTTTATCTGCAAGAAATACAAAGCCAAACTCGAACCTTCTTAAAAAGCTGTCAAAATCAGGCCGGGTGTAGTGGCTCACACACATAAGCCCGACATTTTGAGAGGCCAAGGCGGGTGGTTCACCTGAGGTCAGGAGTTTGAGCCTGACCAACATGGTGAAACCCTGTCTCTACTAAAATGCAAAAATTAGCCTGGCATGGTGGCAGGTGCCTGTAATCCCAGCTTCTCGGGAGTCTGAGACAGAAGAATCACTTGAACCCAGGAGGAGGAGGTTGCAGTTAGCCGACATAGAGCCATTGTACTCCAGCCTGGATGACAGAATGAGACTCTGTCTCAAAAAACTTACCGTCTCAGAGGAAGGGGTAGGCTTCATGCTGGGTTTAAGTGCCTCCATCATGTGTCAGCTTCATCCTCAGGCTGGCTTCCTCATGGCAGCAAAGTGGCTGCAATAACTATTGGACGCACATCCACCCATCACACCAGCCAGAGTAAGAAAAAGAGCACTTTTCATTTCCCCACAAACACAAGATCTGGCCTTCCACATGATTGGGATCAATTTAGACCCATGTCAGTGTCTATCAATGAATACTGACAGATCAAGTGAGGATGGGATTAGGTTGATTATCAGATAGGCTGATTATCACAATCATTGTCCACACATGGAGCAGAGATGGGCCTAATCAGATCCTTGGCTGTCTTGCAATTGCAGAAGGGTGGAAATATATCCTGGGGAATCAATCAATATAATGCCCACTATAAAATCAGTGTGATATCCTATACCATTAGATACCAGTTTAAACTCTTACATTACTGTTCAATGTTTAACTTGTTTCTAATTTTATTTTATTTTATTTTTTGTGGAGACGTGGTATTGTTATGTTGCCCAGGCTGGTCTGGAACTCCTGGGCTCAAGCAATTCTGCCTTGGCCTCTCAGAGTGCTGGCATTACAGGCGTGAACTACTGTACCTGGTCTGTTTCCAATTTTTTTTTTTTTTTTTTTTTGAGACGGAGTTTCGCTCTTGTTACCCAGGCTGGAGTGCAATGGCACGATCTCGGCTCACCGCAACCTCCGCCTCCTGGGTTTAGGCAATTCTCCTGCCTCAGCCTCCTGAGTAGCTGGGATTACAGGCACGCGCCACAATGCCCAGCTAATTTTTGTATTTTTAGTAGAGACGGGGTTTCACCATGTTGACCAGGATGGTCTCGATCTCTTGACCTCGTGATCCACCCGCCTCGGCCTCCCAAAGTGCTGGGATTACAGGCTTGAGCCACTGCGCCCGGCCTTGTTTCCAATTTTTGATATTACATTTTAAACTGGGAGTTGCAGACATAAATGAGATAAACAACACTGTAAGATACCGTAGGGAATGTAGAGACTTTGGCAAAAGAGAGAATGCATGTCCTGCACCTGATTGTTTCACATAAGAATGTAAGCCCACTGTTACCAAATCTTCCACTTTTTAAGGAGGAGCCCAAAATGCATGTGAAATCTTCTGGTTTTTAACTTTGGCTAATTTTTTCTTAAGTACCATGTATGGCAAATAAAACATGTTTGTGGGTTAGATTTGCATCTGGGCCACCAGTTTATCATATTATGAATCATGCTGGAATATTTCATAATACCTTCTTTCAAAGTGAGAGTTTCAGTCCTTTCATGAACCAGGGCTGCTAGGATATGCTTAATGCAAATGAAGCCACAGTGGAAAGAGAAGTGAATAGCACATACTACATGAAGAATGCTTTGTTATTACTTTTTTATTCCTCTTAGCTTCTTGAGTAAAAGACTGAAGATCTGTTAATAATTTTTTGGCATGTGCTTAGAATTGTTTTTCTGGTAGTAAAGATAAGTTTGCACCAGATCACCTTACTTGTCTTATCTAGGTTCTCTTTTGACTTGTCTCTTATCTATGTTGTACTGTGAGGAAAAGTTCAATTTAAAGAATGACCCCTGTTGATTAGAGGCATTATATGTGGCCATGGGACAGGATTTTTCTTTTCCTTGTAGCAAGCTGGCACATGGATAGATTCTACCACAGTGACTTAGATATCACGCTCCGCTTAAATAGATTTAACTCACAGTGGCTAACGGTGGCCTCTACTATTGCTTTCAAGACATATAGAACTGAATTTGGGGAACACTAAACTTGTTTTGGACTTGCCATTTTTTTTAAAAAAATCTTTTTTTGCTAAGTTTCTTGCTGAATGTCCATAATTGCCACATCCATTGTCCTTTTTTTTTTTTTTTTTTTGGTCAAAAAGCTTCACTCCAGTTAGAAGATACTTGAAGGCACAAACTATGGCTTTGTCAACCATTGACTTCCTCAGGGTGCACAGTGTAAATTTACTAGTACTTTATTTAGTAGAGGCTCAGTACTTACTTGTTTGCATATTTATTAATAGTTCCCATACATCTTAGGAAATTAACAGATGATTTATGTCATTCTAGCCCTAACTTTATTGAATATAATAAAAACTTTCATTATTTATTGTCAGGCCCAGGGCTAGGTAGGCTCCTGAGATACAGAAGTTGGTAAGGGAAGGAAGGAGCACAGAAGGTAGGGGAAACAAACAAAAAATAGATAATTATGACACTCTTGATATGTCTCAGCATCTCTAGACATTAACATCAGGAAAAGGGGGTGGGAAGGAATTTGGGAGGGAAGGCCCTTTGGACAAATGTCACATTTCTCAGAGTAGCTTTTAGATACGGGTGGGAAAATGAGGGCGGGGGAATTAAAGTGGGATAGAAGGGAGATATTTAAACAAAAGTCATTCTAGGGCTCCAATCACTAGACACAAGTAACTCTTGCTACACTATATTCACTCATCTTTGCAATCACATTCATCCAGTGCTTTCTATGAGTTAGGCAGGGTGCAGTGTGTAAGATACAAATAAATGAAGCAGGTCCCCAGCGGTTGTCTAGAGGGATAAATGCTGCACAGGGCAACCAGGATAAGCTTCAACACGTTAGGTGCTACAAAGCTACAGAAACAAAGTGGTAAGGAGATTTAGAAAATGTACAGGTCATTTCTGTACATTTTCTGAACAGGATCTAGAAAGAATGATGTCCACAGTGAAGGATCAGTACAATCTAGGTGGTAAAAAAAAAAAAAGTTGGTTTATTCTGCTAGTTTGTACCTCCACATCTTTGACCCCAAAGGATAAAAAGGTGCAAACAAGGGCACATTTTCTTCATAGAAGGTGCTTACTTAGTGCTTTCCTGTTCATTCCCCGCAGGTGATTTCCCTCCTCAATCGCTCCTGAGTCTCACGAACTAACGAGGGAGCGCTTCACAAGCACCCAGACACCTTCTAAGAGGTGAAGAAGAGAGTACTTGGTGAAAAAGTTCGTACGCTTTCAGGGGAACTTCCTTAAGATTACTGGGCATGAAGAATGAAAATATGTAAACCAGGTTTATGAGCAAGAAGATAATCTCTCCACATGCAGAGTTAATCTCAGAACTCAGTCACCGCCAGCAGAACGCACCCCAGTCTGGGCGGGCTCACGGGCGCGGTCCCACCCCCAGGCCCCTCCCCCGTGCAGGTTTCTCCGGCGCCTCCCGCACTCCCGCCCGTCGCGCGTCGCCGCTCCAACAACTTGGGTTCCGTCGGGACCTCACTCCGCCCCCGGCTCAACCGCGGCCAGGCCGGGACTTGCACACGCTGCTGCGCCGCCGTGTCCCAGCAGAGTGGGCGCCTCCGCCAGCAGGAGCGCGCACGCCGCGCCAAGGGGCTTGGACGCGCGCGCTCCCGACGCGTGTCCTCCTCCTCCTCCTCCCCCTCCTCGGCCCGCCCCCTCCCTCGCCTCTTCCTGCCAGGCCGTCCTTCTCCCCTCCCCTCTCCGCTCCCTCCGCCTTCCCAGGGCTCCGGCAGCGGCGGAGTAAACGGGACCGGCCCGGCCTCGGAGCGCGAGGTGGCGGGTGGGACGCGGACGCCTGAAGGAGTTGTTCTTCCGGCAGCTCCCGCGGAGACGTGAAGAGGTGAGGCGAGGGCGGCCTCCTAGGGGCTCCAGGGCGGCCCGGCGGCCCGGATTCGCTGGCCAAGGCTGCCTGGGTGTGTTGGCGTCGGGCTGAGCCTGGGCAGGGTCGAGGTGGGGCCCCGGCCCGGGACGGGGATGCTGGAGGACCGCGGGAAGGAGGGCACGGGGAGGGTTCAGGACTGTCGGCCGCCTCCCGGACACTGCGGTTCTCCCAGGTGGCCGCTCCTCGCTGCCAGGGCGGGTCGGGTCGGTACCCTTACCTGGGGGCGGGGTAGGGGCTTCGGCGGCCGCCGCCTCCAGCCGTGCCCTCCTGACATTGCTGCCTCCGCGGCTGCCGCCCGCTGCTACGCTGTGGCTGCTGCTGGATTCGCAGTCCCAGCAGCCCTGCGTCCGGTGGGCGAGTGGTTAGAGTATTTTCTACCCACACGCAGGCTTCTGTACTCCATCGTTTATCTCCCTCCCCCTTCCTCTTCCTCCGCCGACCACTTTGCTCGGCTCCTGCTGTCGATGTTTGTGGTTTTGTAGTTTGGGATGGGCTGCATTCCGGGCAGATCCCTACCTGCAGGGAATGCCCTGCTTCAAAGTTGACCTCCCGGGGCATGGCAAACACCTTCTCTCAACCCCCACCCAGCTTAGGGGTGCTGTGTCCTGATAACTGAGTCAAAGTTTCTGAGACAGGGCTAGTACTTTGCACTGGTCGCCAAAGGTACAGGGCTAGGCAGTTCGTCAGCATGTGGAAAGGGGCCACTGGCCAGTGGGAGGTGGCCGGGTGCATGGGAGCTCAATTAACGGGGTTCAGATACTAGGCAGTGTGTCCACGTCTTTGGATCTCTCAGATAGGGTTATATTCTAATATGTACCAAGATTTGAGTTGTCACTTGCGGAATTGATGGTTTCATGCAGGTAAACTGAAACGCCAGCCTTATTACATTGATGGTAAGGAGAACTTTTGCTTGCCTGACACATTTCAGCACAGTTTGGAAAATGATTTTAGGGCCTTCATTTTTGGCACTGGAGGGTTTAAGGATTTTTAATATGTTTAAATTTCCTTGTGCATGGGGGAAGTAAGTAGTTGCTCATTAAAATTCTGAAAACACAGTTTCATGAAAACTTCTGACTTTTCTTATAGTAGTGTTTATATTTGGCATTTTCCATAGACTATCCGTTAGTAATGACGTCGGAAGATACAGACATGAAGTTTGCTTGTGGTCACCTTGGAAGTGGATTTTGTTCATGGAAAATATTGGTTCACAAGCTCCTAGTATTAGAAAACTGGCCTGTGTTCATTTTCTCAGTAGAGCGTCCCTTATGAAATTGACAATGAGATTTCCAAGGAGAAAGACTAGATGAACTTTATGTATACATGATCATCAAATTGTATTAAATGTACACCTGGTTGAGGGGTTAGCTCTAGACTTTGAGTTAGACTTGTGTCTATACTAAATCAGTTCAATAAATGCACCGATATTATGAATTATTAAGTCATCTGGAGAGAAATAGATAAAACAGGGCAGGGTTTATTTGTTAACATATTATGTAGCCTATATTTGCTCTGATGTGTGTTATTAAGTCATCTCGGGAGAAGTAGATGAAGTAGGGCAGAGCTCATGTGTGAACATATAATCTACATTGTCTTTTAGAAAGCTGGTAACAGGTTAGTAAGTCTCAGTACTATTGGGGCATATGGTGACTATGCAAACCAAACTAAAAAGGTGTGACTGTAAATGTATGTAGTTTGTTTATTTTTTTTAGAGACAGGGTCTTGCTCTGGTGCCCAGGCTGGAGTGCAGTGGCTCAACCCTAGCTCACTGCAGCCATGAAGTTCTGGTCTCAAACAATCCTCCCACCTCAGCCTCCTGAGTGGCTGGGACTACAGACACATATCACCACACCTGGCTAAGTTTTTATTTTATTTAATTTGTAGAGTCAGGGATCTCACCATGTTGCCCAGGCTAGTCTCCAACTCCTGGCCTCAGGCAGTCCTTGCTCCTTGGCCTCCGAAAGCACTGGGATTATAGGCCTGAGCCAACCATACTTGGCCATTTTTTTTTTCCACTTGAGTTATTTGATGGGAATTTCTATATGTTGTGATGTTTTGAGAATTTTTGTTTCTTTGATAATTGTTTCATGATTTAGATTATTTTCTTTTTACCCTGGTAGTTATGATTTTTTTTTCTTTGAATGACAGAAATTTTTTAGGCACATGAAACAGAAGTTTTCATGGGGTCAGCTCACCAGTTCCAAATTTGTGACTTTTAAAAACTTAATTTTTTTTCTTTGCCTTAACCCAAACTAGAATTTGCTCAATTGCCGTATATTTATTTGAACTCTCAGATGATACAGCATTGAATCAGAAAGTCCTTTTATCCATTTTTTTGGAGTAATCAAAAGGAATTCTTTTGTGCCAAGTAGAAATACTTGTGGGAGATAGCTAGGCCTCAAGAGATTGACTTTGAAGAGAGTAGTAGGTAAGTGACAAAAATTTCTCATATTGAGGTTGTAGAACTGGGACTGCAATCCAGCCTACCCTTGTCTTCAAGTGGGATATGGATCATTATGACTGGATGGAGGGGGTTTGGAGAATGAAGTTGATGCTGTAAGCCTGTGGGAATCCCCGGGCACTGAGCTTGCTTATGTCTTAATTTTAACGAGTTCTACATTTTTATAACTCTTGAGTTATACAAATGGGTCAGCCATTGAGTCTGAGGATGACCAGCAGCCCAAGACTGTACAGGTGATGGCATTTCAGAGATGGCTCAGGGATTTCTTGTGGAGATGATTTGATGAGCATTTTGCCATTACAAACAGTGGAGGCCAAGAAAATACAGATTTGGGCCTGAGTTATGGTAAAACATTCATTTTCAAGGAGAGTTTTAACATTGATATTTTAGAGAAAGACATTGTTTGACTTCTAGACTTTCAGAATGGGGAATAATTTTGACTTTATAGTCAGTATTTGAATTGGGCGTTAAGTATGTAATCATCAGTGGATCCTAATAAGGAAGAGCTAATGAATTAAGCAGAACTTGCATCCGCAAACATCTCCTTTTCGTATGTCATTTACTTCGCACATTGCTCTTATTCAACAGATAGGATGGCATAATTGAGTATAGCAAGTGTATGCCCATGCTGACTCTTCTTGGTTATTTTTTGGTGTTTTTTTGGTGTACTTTTTGGGGATTTTCCTGGGAAACTTCTAGGCATCTGTTCAGCTGATTTAGAGTTAGATTTGGGCTAAGATTATTAGTGTAGTTGAAATACTGAGCCTTCATATTTTCTAAATAGTTTCTGAAATAGAAAACATTTTGCCAATGTTGTTGGACTAAAAAACAAAAAAACAAACCCCCAAAAACACAACAACAACACAGTTCTTTATAAATACTTATGAAAAATCTGGTTACAGGCTGTGTTGTGATAGACATAGTACAGCCAAAAATATATTTAAGAAACTTCTCACCCAGTTTAGTAAGCTTAAATAAGAAGTAAGAAAATAAGACAGTTTTTTTTCAATAAAAGCCTGATTTTCCTAGAATATGAAGTCTAACAACTGTTTGCTGTGTTATTTCCCTCTTGCCTATTCTAAATCAAGCAAGAACTACGTGTCGCTACTCCATGGCAAAAGCTTAGTTCTAGTAGGGGATTCTTAGTAATGGAGGTCTCATTGAGGGATGCAAGGAAATTTGATTGGGAAACATTCAGGTATGGAACATTTATTTTTTACTGCTCTAATTTTCTCTGTACCTGGATATTCAGTGGGGTGGGGGCATAAGCACAAATACAGAATTATCTGGATTTTTTTTTTAATACTATAGATTTCCTCCTTCTATCCCCTACTTGCCCCCCCATTGCTAAGTGAGCCGTTGATATAGTAGGAGTGCATTGTATCTTTTAGGTATGTGGGGCTGAACAGATGCTAAGAACTTTGGTGCTTTGCTGATACTCCGTAAATCAAATTCCTACTCTGTAATTTGCCTTCTGGTGATATCAATAGACATTTGTTACTCTCATTTTTGAAGAAAAATATGAATTGTGGTGATGAAGAGACATATGTAACCAAGAGTAAAATTTATCAAATTATGTAGTATACATGAAGCAGACCAGGAAATTGTTTACCTGAACGTTTATTGAACTCTTTTGATTCTGGCCCACAATAAAAAAATATATTTTACTTCTTAATTCAGCAAGCTTACACACACACAAAGTTGAAAGTTTGGTGAAATAATATTTACCTTTTCAGGGGCCTGCTGAGTTGGCCGTAATGGCTTGCAAGGCCAATTGTGCGTATTTCTTCCTAATTAGCTCTATGTCCAGTGACATCATGTTGGCAGCTTGAAATTAGTCATGGTGGTAATATTTTCACCATGAAATTCAGCAACTGCTATTCTCAGGGCTTCCCTCCTCATACCACCTCATTGCTTGTAACACACATTGATATTTTCTGTTGTTTCATTTCATTTAAAAAATGCTGGGTTTTGACTTCCAAATTAATTTTACATCCAGCTAATGGATTATAGCTTACAGTTAAACAACAACAAATACAACTAGTTTAGCCTTCCCTCCTAACTTTGTAAGTGAAGGAACATATTAAAAGCCTCAAGTCCAAAGTCAGATAGTGAGTTATTAGCAAAGCCAGGGTTCTGGACTAAATCTGGAGTTGTTTCTTGTGGTCTTCTTTCCTAAGTATGCTTAGTATGTGTAAGGGATTGTGTTAATCAGTTGAGTAAAGATGGACCTTGAACCTGAGGACTTAATGCTTAGGTGGGGGTTTAAATATGGAAACAACAGTGATAATGAAAGGCAGAAAGTAATGGGCAGTAAAAAGATAAGGAACTATAAGAGTTTAGAGAGGAGGGAGAGATTACTTTTAAGAGGTGACATTTGAACTATGTTTTTAAAATTTTTATTTATTTTTATTTTTATTTTTTTAAATAAAGACGGGGTTTCACCATGTTGGTTAGGCTGGTCTTGAACTCCCGCTCAGGTGATCCGCCCACCTTGGCC